ACTATGCAAATCGGAGATTGGTAATTGTCTCATAAATCATAGAGATTATGACTATGAGCATAGCTATTGAGGCATATACAATCATAGCATTTTACATGCATCAGGATATGAGAGATTCCTGCTTTAACACTTGTAGATTTCACATAATCCACCCATGTTGTTGTTATTGTTTTTTGGAAGTAGCTTTTGTATATGTAATTCATATATACTGTCTGAAGCACAGACACAAGAAATATTGCAAATGATGAAAAAATACTCGCTCTAGGGGACATGTCAACAATATCAAAGTATGGCTTCTTTCAAATCCTAATTCATACCTGGATGAGAATACCTTAATGAAATCATGTGCATTTTCACTCATTAATACAATTGCATCATCTAATTCTACAGTATGGTCACATTTCCTGTTCAGTATAAATAAACTGTTTCGCTTGACAGAAATAGGTTGAGTTATGGAATGATTGGATATTATTAGCAAATACTCTGTTCATTTTTTATTTGTACAGGTAGCAGGTATAATATAAAATAAACTATAAATCAGGGATGGAATACTCCTATTATACTGTCAAGTTATTTCTCATATTATTTCTCACAACAGGCTAAATAAATGAAAACAATAGGCAAAATTAATAGAAATCATAAATTCAACATGGAAAAGTTGAAAAGTCCCTAAAAACAACAGGCGATTTTGTGAAAACAACTGATGAAAATTGCCTGTTGCCTGCTGCTAATGAAACCCCTGACATAGTTTTCAAATCTTTGATAATATATTTAGAATTGTGAATAAGAAAATCTAGGAATAAACCCAGGTTGGTCTTGCCCTATGTTGTACTTTTGACCATAGAACTCTTCAGGAAGGGAAGTTGTCATGCAAGAGTTGATGTACAAAGGCTATTTCTGGACAACTGCTCCTTACTAATTGCCACTTGAAGATAGAAGGTGCTGGATCAGTGAAAGGGTTGATTAGTGCTGTAGTAGTATCCCATACCTGGGTGACTTCTCACACATTTAGGTTATAAACTCTCTTTACTGTAAAACCTTATACTATAACTGAAAACCTCTTCTAAAACCCTATATTGTAAAACTTCTTCATATTGTGAAACCTTGATTTTAACACCTTGTACTGTAGAACATTTTTGTAAAAACTATATAAACTTAGGCGCTGTGTATGGATATAAAGATGAACACCTTGTAAGTATAAATCCTGGGCCAGGTGTTCAACTGGTAACTGGTCAACTCGTACCCAAGACAAGTCGTACCCAAGACAACTCGTACCCAAGTATATATTTTGGACTGGGAGTGTGAATAGATATACATATTATAATTGTAACATACTGTTCAGAATAGTTTAAAGTTTGAAGAAGAATTTTCGGAAGAAATTGATTTAATTTTGTGACATTTTGAGCTGAGTGTCAATTTATATTGACTATTATTTTATATTGGTCACAGATTCAGGATGTTCAAGTGAAGAGACATATGTTTATTCCACATATTCATAATCATTTTTCTAAATATTGTATGTTTATGGGTGTTTGGAACAAGTGTCAGATCTAATGTTGTAATTATATTTATTTGTATATATGTTTGACAAAAAAATGTTGTGAACAAGCTCTTCAAGCACTTCTTTTATTTCATAAAAAAATGCTTTACTGATCCATTGAGAAAAAATGTCGTCTAAATTCAAAAAAATATTGAGGCTTATTTGATTCACATTACAACCTGAGCAATACAAACTCAATTTTTTCCCCAATGTGCACCCATTATACTGAAAATAATCTTGGGTACGAGTTGTCTTGGGTACCAGTTGTCTTGGGTACGAGTTGTCTTGGGTACAAGTTGACTAGGAAGCGTTCAACTAGCCTAACTCACATATGTTTAACTCTAACTCCTTCCATTTTCTAGGTCAGGAACTCACATCTTATGATTCAATATTTGAAATATTTGTGTTTTGCAAGTGGAGCTGAGGTGAATTAATCATAATGTAGAGATATGTGGATATATTTATAGGTTAAGAATGTTTCATACCTGGTAACCTTGGATACCAAATGTAATTTAAGCCAGGTGTAGCCTTGCATCACTACTTGGTTTACTGTCTACCCCCTCCTTCCACCCCTGCACAGTTCCAAACAGAGGGCCTTGATGCAAGATGAAAAAATCAGGTCAAGATGTTTGTAATTTTTTAACTAAAATAAATATTTAGACTTTTTGACATAATGAGGATATGGAAGGGTCATTATGACTTTCATTCAAGACTAGCATCTTTGTAAGAAAGATGTGAACCATAGATCCATTGAGCTAATTTAAAAATCCACAACTATGTTCACCAGTTCCAGATTTCAAGAGATCCTCTTTACTCTAATAGAATTACCATTCTCACCATCTCATCACTATGATGCATAGTGGCTTTTGTATATGGGAAATCTGGCTTTTCTATTTGTGCCTCATCTGGGCCTATTCACCATGCTGTAACCTTGCACAAAGTTCTGTACGTGTGTTTATGCATGTACAGCTTACTTATTGACAGATGCTTTCCCTCTTCATTGATATGTTAGAATTTATATGGGATATTTTATTAAATTCTTTCGACAAGTTATCAGAAGACTAACATGGTACGCATATTGAAGCATTGAAGTCATGATTGGCACCTCATAGAAATAAGCCATACGTGAGATTTTGATAAAGTCTCTGCCATTGTTGATTCCTTATATACCTCTCTGCTTTCAAGCTACACTATATTTACAAATGAACTTCCTATTAACTCATAATTTTGAGCCTCTTTAAAATTGTTAATTCAAAACATAAGGAACTGTTGGAAGAGGGATATTTTGTATAAGATTGAATTATAGGAAAAAGAATATAGTTCTGTCATAAAGTCAAACAAACAATATTTTGTCTTCTTGCAAACAAAAATCAGGGGCCAGATAGTTATCCAGATTCTGTAATATCTACGTGATAAACATTTGTTGGTCTCTGTTCTTCTGATTTAATTTATACCTATTGTGAGACAAAGCAATATACTTCTGTCTCAAATTCAAACAACCTCACAAAAACAATATTTTGGCTTCTTGCAAACAATTATCAGGGACAGAGTACTTGTGTAATATCTATGTGATAAACATTTGTTGAAGTCTCTGTTCTTCTGATTTACAGCATACAGGAAGTCCAGATCTTGCACAATATAAGCCGTAATGGTTCACACTTGATCTGCTTTCCTTGTAACACAAACAGACAGGCAATCTGCTAATGGTCTGAATGTGTTCTATGATAACACATGGAGATTTAGACTCATCAATGAGGGTACCCCGTCCTGGTGCTTCATCAGTCATGAATCTGCCCATCTTACGATCAAAGCTATTAAATTACGATAAGGTATCTTGATTCTGTATAATACTGTTGGCTGATCATCCTTATTACGTCGCTCGGTTTTAATCCTTTCTTTCTTGGAATGGTACTATCAGAAAGGATTATGACAATAGTAATATTGATTCGGAGAGTTCTATGATGTCTGGGCTAATTTCCGCATGATTGCATATATTTCTTCCATCTATAGACACTATTGGATGTATCATGGTAGCTCTAAAACCATATTATTATGGCCTACTGAGGGTGGTTAACCATAGAAGTAATTGTTATGGGTTTGCCTGTTTGTGTTCCCAGGTTCATAACATATACATGTTATACCAAACATCCTTACTGCTATGACATAAGATCTTTAAGTATTGGAAATATAAATGGTTCCAGGATGTGTCTACCTGTGGGGTAGTGGTAACTTTGACTAGAAGTACGTAAAGTTTCAGGTATGAATGAGTAAGTTGTAAGATGTTTATTTTCTTAACTGATTCATGAATATGATTCTCTTCAATTTTTCACATATGTCATAGTGCAGACAGGAAATATATCAGCCATTAATTCAACCAAACATTGATTCTATTCAGGATGAAGTTCTCATTGCTTTGTACACTACAAGCCCTTATGACCCCCCACCCCTCCCCCACTACACACCTATGCCTACAATGTGATGTGCTGGTGAAGTAGATAAGGGAGGGGTCCACAGTCTTGCAAGAATAATTGCTTGCTATAGAGAAGTTCTGAGGCCCATGTTTATATTCATCATGTGAGGTTTTTAGTCCCCTCCCTCTCTCTTTTCTTCCTTCTGCTGACAGTGGTGGAGAAATAGGGAGATGGGTGTTGATTTGCTTCTTCAAAAGAGAGCTTCATATGTTCTCTAGTCTGATGTACTCTGTTCTAACTCTCAGGGTTCAAATTTGGTAAACTTTATGTAATGCCATATGAATGCGGATTGATGTAGCATGACTGTCAAAATGATTTGTTGTTCTAGTTAACCGATCTCATGAAGTGTATACATTGTGATATGTTCCATATTGTATATGGTAGACATCTGCTACATTAGGTCTTCACCAGACATTATACTCAAGGTGGTGCCTTATATTACATTAAGTGGCTCGCTACATATACATCACACCCACCCACAACTTTCATTCTATCACAATATCAAATATCAAATCATTACAAATATCATTTGTGTTGATAAAATTTTGTATTAAACAGCTGCAAAGTCAGCCAGTTTAATAATACATGTACATTGTACATATAATATACGCATACTGTAATTGTAATAAGCCATTCAAATTTCTTGGTTTTATTACATCTTAAGTTGTATAGTTTAGATTTGGATATGTCCTACACATTAGTAGTTTTATAGATTGATTTTCATGAATACTTTTAGATGTAAGTTGATAAACATATTTACCATCTTAGATGTCTTGGTTTTATAGGAAATAGCAAACTATCACAGAATTCCTTGAAAAAAACCCAGGCTATTTTGGTAAAAGAAGAAGAGGAAATTATCTGTTCCCTGCCACTAATTTGAAACCCCTGAAATTAAAACTACTTTCACTTTCTTTTAGCTTCACAAAAAGTATGTTTATAAAACATTTCAAAAACACAATTTAATTTTCTTTTGTTTTTGTGTATTACAGATGTACCATTGGATTGGTCCGATCATGGACTCTGGTGGCCAGACAAAAACATGTGGCTGTCCCGTACACGATCCACATTAGACCAATATGGTGTCCAGGCTGACGCAAACCTGTTCTTCACCCCTATGCATAAGAACCTTCACATACAGTTGCCCGATCTCCAAGTAATGGACATGAGGGTCGATTTCTCTGTCAATGTCTTTGGCTCCGTCGTACAAATATGTAAAGAATTAGGTAAGTCCACATAAAATTCAGAGTTAGTCTTGATGTCAAGGATTTGTGCTACTCATCCCCCATTGACACCCAGACAATCTACAATTTGATATCAAGTCATCAAAATAAAATTTTGGCATCCAAATTAGTTCTTGTGATTGGTCTTTGTTGAGAAATGTCTAAATATTTGCTTAGTTCAATAAGTTCATCAAAGAAGATTAAAATATCTTGAAAATCCCTCATCTTATTAGATTAGAGTATTACATTTTCTTCAATTCCACTATAAAATATTATTTTATCTCAACCAAATGTTCTAACTTCTGGATCCAATTATTTGAAAGCATTTGTGAAGATATAACTGATAACCTTTTTCAAGAGGTTCCATATTTATATGAGAGTTCTGACCTAACACCAATCAGACAGACAGACAGACAGACTGATAAATGAAAGGCATTATGCAATCAGAGAATCTGCAATATCTTGATAAGCATAATCAAGCTCCTAAATGTTTTCTATAATTTTGTATCTGCGTTCGATAAATGATTTGACGTCAACTATGATTGTAGTTTTGAACATGGAACAGTTCAGTTCTCGTAAGATATCACAGATTGTTTACTATAAATAAGAAAGCACCATGACTTTGAAATATTTGGAGGGCTTAGGGCAAGGGGAGAAATGAATCACACCACTTGTTTCACTTAACTAAGTTACCACGACTCTTCAGAATCGTTCTTCATTTCACACTGTTCCAGATGCAATTTCTCATTTCGTATGTAAATGTACCTCTCTAATTAGGGGTATAACAATGTCATATTTAACAACGCCTGTAATCTTCAGCTTACCGTAGGTGTTGTGGTAAGGGGCGATGTTATTTTTCATAAATCAAGCCAAATTATATCTTAAATCGCAACAGGTAGCATATGTTTTTATTTTCCGAGACATAAATCTTATAATTCTCAAACGTTCCTCAGACTGATGACGTATTATATGAATGATGCAAGCCGATTGGAGTTGCCAGTTTAGAATCATTTGCGGATATCTCTCTGCGTGTCTATGATCACATTCAGTAAATGACGCATTCACTCGTTTGAAGTGTTACGACCATTTAAAAGGCTCTCGTTTGCTTCTCGTACCTTAGGATGTTTAACCCATGTACTTCACAGGATCACTAAGTAGATTTTGATATGTTTCATCTTTTTAAAATTGATATATTGCCTCAATACAGTTGATATGATTTATAGAGGTTTGAATTGTTTTTTAACTGTCTTTGAGCTTTCTCTTGAATCTTGGAAAATGACATACGACATACATACATACATATGAATAAACACAAGGAGCGTATCTCAAACATGCGAACTGTTTCAAAAACCCTGATTAAAGTTGAATTTTATTCATTTTGGAAGTAATATTTTATAAACAACAAATGGCATTTAAATATGTAGAAACCTAGCCCTTGTGACAGCCCCCCTCCTTCACTCCCCTATATACCTTACCTCTAGCGCAGAGGGGGGGTATGGAGACCTAACTAACCTATAATAAGCTCATGGTGGCCTCAAATGTAGCTTTCATATCCATTTAGTTTAGTCTGTACATGAAATGAATCTTACTTAAGAGTGTAGATGATGTCAAGCTCTTTTCAAGGGTATATATGAGTGAGGCCATTAATTCAATGCCTTATCTGTGTTTAATTAAATTATTATCTTCCCACTTCCAGTAAATTGCAATAACTTGAGAAAACACCACAAATCGTGGTAAAATCATCATATTTCTGACAAGCTATTTTTTACCATGTACCCTCAGGGGCCAAACATTTCTTTGAATCGTAAAGTGAAGGATCTGCCTAATTAGGCAGTTAGCGCAAATTCAATTTTCGTGTAAATGATGAGTAGATTCCTATACCCAGGAGGGTAATGTGAATAGACTGCCAACCAGTTGAACAAGCGTTTCTTACAAATGTGCCAATATTATCCCGTTCGTTTTCCGATTCGATTCCGCGTGAAATAATGAATACATCTGATTTATTTCAATTTCCCCTCCCTCTCACTATACTACCCAGCATGCTCAGTGCTCAGCGGCCAAGCGGAACCGTCACAACCCCTGTCACATGGACAAGTTTGTCTTATGAATGGTCCAGAATTACCTTGCTTACTTTTCTCAGTTCATATGTTTTAATTATGAGACTTTATGTTTGCATATTGACTTGCTCCCCAAAGAATATTTTACTCCTTCATGAAAAATAGAAAAAAGGCCACCCAATCGCTTCAAGATTCAACTAGCTCTTAAGTTTGAAATACCAATGATAAACCAAGATACACTAACACAACAAGAGACCTGCCTACCAACGTGATATATTAAGAGAGAGTAACTTGGAAACTGTTTTTCTTTTGCATCTAAAATATTTCTTTGATGATATTTGTTATTTATAGATTCTCAGAAGGATACAGATAAAGTGGTAGAAAAACATTGAAATGGAAAAATTGAATGCTTTATTGAAAGTACTCAAATATCGTAAAACATTTTCTATTGCGTTTCATTTTATTTCTACCTATGATTTTAAAAACTGTAATCGTCACGATTGTGTGGATTGCTTTGATGTGAAACGAATGGAAGTTCAATGTTATGAATTCGTAATAAAATCTATCATAAATATTATTTCATTTCCTTTAAATATCACCCTGTCAAGTAGTCCACCAATGCAATATTTAGTATAACTGATACTCGTTCATTACCGCAACCGAATCAATGGCATTTCAGAAATATCTAGCTAAAATACTAATTTGCAAATCAAGTTACGAAATCTAGACATTCAGATCTGATTATTGTGGGTAAATGCTGAACTGACGTAGATTTGTAGAGATATTGCAGCGACCTTAAAGATGTTTGTATCAACTAGATTGAAATTAGTTTTGCGTCTACTTGCCTATTGCCGCACTCCTCACATTTGGATTCTATTGGATTCTCAGGTGTTTAGATTTCTAAGTTGTTTACAACAAGGATGTCTATGGCAGATTGAGAAATGGGATGACCGAAACTGAAACGCTCACATTGAGAGGTATTCAGCTAGTAGAAATTGTCTACATATATACAGGTGTTACCAACTCTCTTTTTGTGTTGAGACAACATATTAAAACTGTCATTACATTTTCAACTTCTATTTCTTTCTGAACAAACCTGTAAATGAAACTATTCTATTTGATAAAATCAATGGTGTCATACAACAAAGCGGCTATTTATCTAGAGATGTTACATAAACTAGCACTGTGGAAACGTTATTTCTTGGAGTCTTTGATTAAAGCTCTTTAATCATTCTCTAAGGTCGCTGTGACTCTGTCTATAGGCAAAGTACTCTATTCCAGGAAATGCAAAAATGTTACGGGATTAACCAATTCAGTCTCGATAAGCTTTAATACATTTTAATTCACCAGTTTACGTAAGTTGCTGTCAATATAAAATGAATGTACATGAATCGGGAGAAATGAAAACAAACTAGCAACGCTTTGATCATTTACTGAAATGCTTTATAACAGAGAATACAAAATGTGAAAGAATTGATGAGTATAGTGACATTAAAAATAAAAAAACAAAAGAGAATGTGCCTTTTTGGCTCATCCGGTGAGCTTTTCTTTGCCTACTGATCTGTCCGTTCATCCTCTATCTTGGAAGTAAGGGATCCCCATGTGAGCCTACCAAATCGTGCCATTTTTATAAGACTGAGAATAAGTATTATTTATCTATTGCCAGCTTTGTTAAATTGGTTTGATACTAATTGATATAGTAGTAAAATATACAAATAATCTAGCAAATGTTCGATGATAGCCACTAACTGTTTAAAATGCAATCATTGCCATCTTTATTAGCAGCCATAAATGTATAATTTATTATAGTGTTATTTGATTGTGATTTGATTACTTTATTATAGCTATATGTCTAGAATTGTGAATGAACATAATACAGATTCAGTGATGGTTGGTGGAGTAAGTGAATTGTATCCTGTCTTTTGGTTACACTCTTCCCTCCCACTGGCGGATTAGGGGGGGGGGGGCCCAGGGGCCCGGGCCCCCCCCCCCCTTGGGTGGGCCCAGAAAAAAAAAATTGGGCCCAAAAAAACTTTTGGGCCAAACAAGGCCTTCAGGCCCCAAAAAGTGGGCCTTTTTGGTCATTACTGGGCCTTTTAAGGCCTTATTTGTTAATTTCAGGCCAAATTTTGAAGAAAATGGGCCTCAAAATTTCAAAATTTGGGCCCACTTTTGGATTTTAGGGGCCCAAAATTTTTTTCCGCACAAGCGCGGACGTTTTTTCTCTGACCTGAAATTTGGGCCCCCCCCCCTTGTTGGTTCCTGGATCCGCCCCTGCCCCCAACCTAATGTATGTCCCTGAACTCTAATTAAAGAAATTGAAAGTGAGGGGAATAAAAACTTCATACATGAGAAATGTTTGCCCTTTGATGTTTCTTTTAATACTTCTTGACACAGATTTCATAGTTTCTTTATTGATTCTCACATTTAAAGTAGAGCGAGAGCCATATATTTGGCAGCTATTATCTTTTAATGAATATGGGTCATTTCAACATCTAGGGTTGTCTTTTGCATTTCCTTTTTTATCAACACAACTTGAAGTGAACTTGAAGTATGTGTGATTGTATAATGTCCACTCCTTTTCCCCTCCACCCCTATTTAATTATCTTCTTCCGACCCCATTGAATCCCCCTCCATCCTTATTGAAACCTGAGTTCTCTTCCCCCTCCACCCCTATTGAATATTGAACCCCCAATTATCCCCCATCCCTATTTGACCCCTAATTACACCCATTCAACAGTACTATGGGAAGAAGGTATTGTGGGGGCTGAACATTTGAAACAAGATCAGCTAAGAACATAAAACAACATATCAATCTTGCCCACACCCAACATTGACCATAAAAAGTGTTTATTGTGCAGTAGAAACCAGAAATAGGATCAGAGTGTTATCTTATGTTTATACAGCTATTCTGACATCATTGGGTTGCATTTCCTTAACTCAATA